GGCAGGGCTATAATCCCCGGAGTTTGCCGAGCAACTTCCGATAGATCTGAATCGGAGGGTGGTCAACGCTGAACGAATGTGTTCAAAGCTGACTCGGTGACGGAGAGGCAATCGGCGAGCTTCAGACCGACCCGATGATGGATTCGATCGGATCGTCATTGCTGATGTGCCTCCTCTGGTAATGAGGAAGCGAGTGGCGAGTTGTTGATGAAGGCGACCTTAGAAGTAGATCCAAGATTGGATCTGCAGTTGCAGGTGTGGGGGTGGTCGGCATAGAACGGATCTGCACCGGCTCGAGGAGCTCTCCGACTCTGTCAGCGTTGATGACCCACGAGATGGATCTGACCATGAAGATCTGGCCGAGCTGCGGGAGGGACGAAGAGCCTATGGAAAAAATCATCTTGTTCGGTAGGGAAACATCACGTAAACCCCCTACTTGGCGCGCCAACTATCGACAGAATATCATCGGCAGTCCTCCAAGGGGTATCCCACGAAGGTAGATTGATCGGTAGAGGAGCGCGTGATCAAGAACAAGAAGGCAACAGAGACATACGAGTTATACAGGTTCAGGCCATCAGTATGACGTAATACCTTACTCCTGTGGTCTGTTGGTTCGTATTAGCTATCGTATGATATACCGTGATTTTGGAGGGGGTCCCTGCCCGCCTTATATAGTCCGGGGGGCAGGGTTACAAGTCGGTTAGATATGAGAGATAACCGGAAAGTAATAACATATTACAAGAATCATGGGATCATACGTATCCTAATAGATCTCATAGTATCTTTAGGATATCCTTCCTATATCTTGCGGGAGGCGCCGAGTAGAATCGTGTCCCGCAAGGCTTCATCTTGTGGGCTAGGCCGCCCCTGGGGGCGCAGCCCATGTGGTCCACCATGGGTATCCGGGGTCGTTACCCCCACAGAGGGTGTGAGGTCTTCTGTTCCAAGGCCCAGCTCCTTTAGGGCTCCGGCGAAGAGGAGGTTCAGAGCACTTCCATCATCAACGAGTACTTTCCTAAAAAGCACTTTCCTGACGGTTGCATCAAGAACGAGGGGGAAATGCCCTGTGTAAGGGATGTCCACCCACTAGTTGGCCCTGCTGAAGGTGATGGGGACCTCGAACTAGGGACGATAGCTGGGGTTGGCAATGGCGTCTTCTGCATTGACGGCGAGCACACGGCGGGCGGTGAGCTTCCGATCTCGTCTGCTCTCGGTGGCAGCGCGGCCCCCGAAGATAGTGGCGACCACTTTGTCATGATCCTGGAAGGCGTTGTTGTTGTTCCCGGGTGGTCGGTGACCTCTGGCTCCATCATCATTGTCGTCATCTTTCTTTTTGTCCTAGAATTTCTTAGCCAAGCCAAGGTAGTCTTTCATCTTGTGCTTGCTGTTCTTGTGGAGAGGGCATGGGCCTTCAAGGATCTTCTTGTACTGCTCATCGTAGTTGTGTTTGGCGCGAGGTTCATCAAAGGCGGCGACGATGTGGTCTGGTCGGTGGCGGCGATACTGACCGGCTATGGACCCTTCCGGCCGATCATGGCCACTGTCCTGATGGTGGCCGCGGTCGTCGTGGAGGCGATCACCGTGGCGTCGGTCGTCGGGGCGCTCATCACTACGGTGGGTTGGGCGGTGAGTGCCCGCATCCTTGTTGAACCGTACCTCAACCTCTTCGGTGTTGGCGTACTAATTGGTGGTCGTAATCATCTCGCCAATCCCCTTTGGTGGCTTGCAATTGAACTTGGAGCAGAGGTCACAGTGATAGAGTCCTCGGACGAAGGCGGTGATGACCTCTGCTTCCGTGATGTTGGGAATAGAATTCCTCGTCTCAGAAAAGCGCCTGATGTAGCTACAGAGGAGCTCGGATGATTTCTGTTAGATGCGATTCAGATCATGCTTGGTGTCCGGCCGAGTACACGTAGTCATGTAGTTGTCGGTGAACACCTTCTTCAGCTGTTCCTAGGATTCGATGGAGTCCGGGGCGAGGCGTGTGAACCAGTTCATCGCGGTTGGCGTGAGCATGACGGGAAGATAGTTTGCCATGACACTGGTATCTCTCCCGGTGGCATGTAGAGCGGTGGCATAAGCTTGTAGCCACTGTGTGGGGTTCATTCATCCCTCGTAGGGTTCGACCTCGGTGATTTTGAAACCACGGGGCCACTGGAGTGTCCGGAGTGCCCTCGTGAATGCTCGGGGCCCTTTGGGATCGTCACCGTCGTTATCTGCAGCATTGCCAGCATTAAGTGGCTAGAGGGCTATGTCCGGATTACCGAACTCTTGCTCGTATTCTTGACGCTGGCATACTTCTTCTTCATGGCAAGAGAAATGGCGCCCGTCGATATGACGTCGCGCGTCTCGGAGATTGTTGATGTGCGCTCGGACGTCTTGGTTGACTTCTTGATCATGTTGGCGAGGGTAGTCGATGCGGTTCCCCTAGCTCCCCCCTAGAGGGGTTGTCCGCCATCACGGTGCTGGTCGGCAAAACGACTTCTGCTAGGGTGGTGATTAGATCTCGGCGCGGTGGATCGGTGAATCGAGCTCACCGAGTAGGAAGGTCTTTGATCCTAGCGGATCTCGTTGACCTGGCAGTGCGCCGCTTTAAGCATGGCGGCCACCTTGACGACTTCTGGCGTTTGCTCGAGCCGGGTGAGCTCATTAACGGCTACGGCCAAGTTGGCGCTTGGGGTCTTGTATACATCGTGGCCGTCGACACGGACGAATTCGTCGTCGAGGTTGCGTTGGAGTGGGCGTGGCCTCCCTTGCGAGTCGAGTTGTTGTTGCGAGCAGCCTCAGCTAGCACAATGGCGGCCTCATTTGCTCGGCGTTGCGTGCGGTTGGTGTTCCTGTTGATAAGAGCGACGCGGTCCTCGTCGGTTTCTCCATCCCGTGGAGGGCTGTCTATGCTTACGTTAAAAATCCCACCTCCTCGGAAGGGTGGGAAAGGAGATTGGACGGCGGCGGTTTCGACGATAGTCTCCATGGAGCCCTGGGACTCAGAGTCTGGATTCTCCTCCTGGATGGTGTGGAGGGATGCTTCGGGGCATCGGCCGATGTGCAGCATGTTGACAGTTGGCGAGAACTGATCGGCGATCTGGTCAGCGAGATGGTAGATGTCTCCTGTCTGGTCAGCGAATTTGCCCCTTAGTGCATCTTCATAGGTGGCGGTGACACTGGTGAGCCCAAAGCGTAGGGCCGTAACCCCTAGAGTTTCCTGATCAGCCGCTGATAGATCTAAATCGGAGGGTGGTCGGCGTTGAACCAGAGTGGTCAGAGCCGATTCTGTGATGGAGAGGCAATCGGTGAGCTTCTGGCCAACCTGATCGATGGACACGATTAGATCGTCATTGTTGATCTGCTTCCTCGGGTAGTGGGGGAGCAGGCGGCGTGTTGTTGGTGAAGATGACCTCAGAGGTGGTTCCGAGATCGGATCTGCTGTCGCAGGTGCTGGGGTGGTCGGCGCAGAATCGATCTGCACCGGCGCGATGAGCTCTTCGTCTACGTCAGCGTTGATGACCCAGGAGATCGATCCGACCGTAAAGATCTGGCCGGGCTGTGGGAGGGATGAAGAGCCTGTAAAACGTAATATCTTGTTCGACATGGAAACAGCACGCACACCCCTACCTGGCGCACCAACTGTCGATAGAATATCATCGGCAGTCCTCCGAGGGGTATCCCACGAAGGTAGATTGATCGACAGAGATGCGTGTAATCGAGAACAAGAAGACAACAGAGACACAAGAGTTAGACAGGTTCGAGTCGTTAGCGCGACGTAATACCCTACTCCTGTGGTCTGTTGGATTGTATTGACTTCGTATGATATTGCCTGTGTTTTGAGTGGGTCCCTGCCCGCCTTATATAGTCTGGGGGCAGGGTTACAAGCCGGTTAGATCTAGGAGATAACCGAAAAGTAACAACAGATTACAGGAATCATGGAATCGAACGTATCCTAATAGATCTCGTAGTATCTTCAGGATATCTTTTCGGTGTCTTGCGGGGCGCGCCGAGCAGCGCCATGCTCCGCAAGGCTTCGTCTTGTGGGCTGGACCACCCCTGGGGGCGCAGCCCATGTAGTATGTCGTGAGTTTCCAGGGTCGTACCCCCCACAGTCGGGGTGGGATCCGACGGCGTGCGAGCGCCACCAACACCAGCACCAGCAGCGGCACGCGAGCGCAACCACCACCAGCACCACCAACACCGCCCCTTGGCTCAGCCAAGTGGGTGGCGCACAGCTAGATCAAGGAGCGAGCGGTGCGGGTAGGGCGCGTGACAGGCGGGAGGGAGGAGCGAGGAGCAAGCAACGCAGGTGGGAGACGCGATGGGCGAGAGTGAGGAGCAAGTGAGCGAACGGCACAGGGTGGGGCGTGCGGTGGAAGAAAGCAGCAAGGCAGACTTAGGCACACGGCGTCCGAATGGGCGGACGTCTGTGGCCCAGCATTATCGATTTAATATTGAACGGTACTACTAAAAGCTAGTGAATTGAGAAGTTGTCTTTTGAAGTTATTTTCGCATCGCACGGATCGTTTACCGACAACCATCTCAACATTTTGTGCACGCCTATATATACGAAGAACTTTGTAGTTTGGCTAAAATAGAGTTTGGTGGGCGTTTTTGTGCCTCCGCCAAGAGAACCATGTGTGGGTCTTGCTAATTACATGATGTTGGTTGGGCCTCCAATGATGAACATAAAAACCGCCAATTTGGGAGATATATATAGAGTTAAAAACCACCGGCAAAGTCTCTTGGGTCAAAGTCATCGTCTAAATATCTCGCCAATGAGAGCTTTATTTATCGATCGATGATTACGCTTGCTTGCCTACCAAGTAGCAGTGCCGACTAAACAAGGCTCTTCTCACAAGTGGCTGCTACTTGCATGTTTACCATTCGTCCTACTGTCAGTACTTTGAGAGAAACACACGCTTCTCTTTCGTCTCCCAGCATCCCCACAAAGCGGCTCCTAGCTTGCTACCTTTGGAGCTCAGTCACAAAACAAAGCAACAAAGCAGAACATGAGGGTAAATGTCTTCTCCCCAGCTTCCTTTATTAATTGTGTGCTTCTCTCGTAGTCTTGTACTGTATTTCAGATTTTCTTTCTTGAGCATATTCAGAAACATTTATGCACCTGTCATTTGTTTTTTCAGAAGGAGATCATAATCCGGATTCACGTGAAATCCGACAAGTGCCAGGCCAAGGCCATGAAGGTGGCAGCAGCGGGCAGCGGTATGCGTGCGTGCTTGCGTGCTCTGTTCTTGTTTCTGATGAAAATTCAGAGCAATCACATCGTTCTTACCATTCACATCAGCAAATCATTTTTTTCTCCTCTTGGTTGGAGCAGGAGTGGAGTCCGTGACGCTGGCCGGCGGCGACAAGAGCCTGCTGCTGGTGATCGGCGACGGCGTGGACTCGAACAAGCTACTGAAGAAGCTCAAGAAGAAGGTGGGCGAGGTGGAGATCGTGGAGCTGCGGACGCACGACACGTTCGAGGCGGCGGCGCTCCCGCTCCCGGGGACCAAGAAGGAGCTGGCGGCGATGATGGCGATGGCGGCGGCGCGGTCGCCCTACAACAACAACCACCACCAGCACCAGCAGTGGCAGCACAGCTACGCCGCGGCGCCCACAAGTCCGTACTCCTACCACTACTACCCGTCGCCGGTGGGCGGTGGCTACGGCTACGGCTATGGCTATGGCTACGGGGCCGGCGGCGCCGCGGTCAGCAGCTACTCGCGGGCGGTGGCGCGCAGCCATCCGGCCAATTACTCGCCGATGGTGGAAAGGCACGACTACCAGCCCATGGACCACTCCTCTTCCTCCTCGGGAAAGCGGAGGCAGACTATGGCGGTGCCGCGCCATGGCAGCGGCACCAACAGCTGCACCATACTCTAGTGCCTGTGTGCCAAGTTGACGCAGTTGCAGCCGCGGCCTAGCAATCTGCAAAGCCTTGCTGCTGAAGCTGAACTGCTGGCTGCTGCTTGAATCTTGATGCCTTCTCAGGAACTGGAAACCGTGTGGTTAGTTACTCCTCCATGTGTGGATTTGTTGTGTTTTAGGTTTTGTTCGGGTTTGGATTAGGAGTGGACGAAGGTTGTCAATCTTGTACATGTTTCTGTGGATGGGTCCAAGTGGAATTAGTCGACCTGTAAACATACTACATGTATGCAACTATGCATTTAGGAGTTAACTACCAAAGATGCTTTTGTACACTAGACACTACCACTTCTGTTCCGTTAATTGAGCCTGTTCGCTGCTGATAAGCCCGGCTAGTGCTGGTTTGTTGTGAGAGGAAAACACTGTTGATTGACTGATAAGCCATGGCTGAAACAAACAAGCGAACATGCTCAATAACTTTTGGGTTTCCAAATTAACCTAATCCATTTGAATAGCCATAATTCAACATTGTGATTTATGGTATCGTTATCTAAAACAGGCAAGATTTGATTGCGTCAATGTGATTTATAGATGCTTGAATGAGGGGTACATGTGTTTTCCCTCTCTCTGCTTTAGCTGTCCTAAAAATCTTAGAAGTCCTTTGGCACCTTTGAAGGCTATGGAACCTATGAATTTCATAGGATTTATATAGAAATTTCCCACGAATCAGTTTAATTTTCACATGAAAAATGCTAGATTAAAAAAAACTGCAATCCAAATGGGACTGAACCTGTATTTCTACTGGCCTCACCGTTGCACTTCACTGGTATTTTTCAAAACGGCACCTTTGAGCTTTGGTGCATAAGCATCTGACATCTCTGAACTTTGCTCCTGCCATCAATCATGCTTCATGCATCATAGGCCTGTTCAGCTGGTATTAAAGCCGGCTGAAGTTGTTTTGTTGTGAGAAAAAAATACTGTAGATTCTAGCTGATAAGCCGACTGATAAGTTTAAGCGAACATGTTAGCAGTTGAGAGAGACACAAATAATAGAGCCCATCCTAGCTACTCAATGGACCAGTATGGGCAATCGACGAGGTTTCGTAACCGTGCAATAAACTCCCTATACCATCCGATCAGTGGAGCGAATTAACGAATAATCACGCGCAGTCACTCACTCCACTGCAATAAACTAACCAGTAACTGTTTGTCAACCATTCTCTTTCTGGCTTCAAGAAAATGCTAGCTGTCGCTCCAAGTGCAACTGAACCAGGTTTCTTCGAAATCGAAATAAAAATATATGATCAGCAGTAGCAGGCCATCCCAGTTACCAGTTAGCCACGCAAACTGGATATTTTAAATCCGCTGATGATTATGTGCCAATCTAGCAGGTGTGTTCTACGTGGAATTTTAAAGCCTTATTAAACTCAGTGCTTTTCAGTGAGGCCGTGGTTCTCCATTGGTGAGGTCAAGTCACGGGGTTTTGTCCCTTAGCTGCCACTTCAATCAACTGCCTCTAGGGGCCTGTTTAGTTCCTCCAATTTCCAGAATTTAGTAATATGCAAAAAGAAGATTTCCTGTCACATCAAACTTATGGTACATGTATGGAGTACTAAATGTAAACGAAATCAAAAACTAATTGCACAGTTTGGTTGTACTTTACGAGACGAACGTTTTAAGCCTAATTAGTCAACGTTTGGACAATTATTACTAAATACAAATGAAACGCTACAGTACTCTCTGACGGCGCCGATTCCGCCCCGAACTAAACGAGGGCTAGATCTTCCAACTACTACAGTACTGGAGTAGGAGCAGTACGATCCATGTCGGTTTCAAGAAGCAAAATTTTCCTGCTCGTGAGGTGGGCCACCCAGAAATTTGGAGGCCCGTTGACAAACAGTATCGCTGATGCATTCTGCATGCTATGCTGCTGTCAAATACTAACGAGGAATCCACGTAGGCACTCAAATCCAAAATAAATAGCGAGAGATCTAAAATCAGCCTCTAACAGAGTACCTATACGGAAGATCTATTTTGGGTTGCCTGAGAGGCACAACCCAAATATGGACATCCTTTCTTTTAAAAACCCATTTATAGAAATAATTCTCTTTTAGGTCTCGTCGTTAGAGAAGATGCCGAATATGTATTGAATTTTTTGCCTGTAGTGTTTTGGTCGGAGATAGACTAACGTGCACGAGTTGAATGTCCGGTCCCTGACGTAACCTCCGATGCAAGACTGACAGCATCCTTCATCGAAGAACTTGGCGCCATTATACAACGTTAGTTATATGAAAAAAAAATACACTTGGCGACGCAAGGCTGAAAAGGACGGGAAGGACCGAAGGAGCCGAAAGGGCCTGCCTGACGAACTATAAGGCCCATCATTATTCAAACGGGCTGGCGGACTGGAGGAGGCCCATGAAATGGGAAGGCCCGCTATTCGAAGGGCCTTGATTGGATTCCTCGTAGCTGCGGCTTGCGGTGTGGTACTATTTTTCTCTCTCGATCGAAATCGGCAGTCTCTCTCCCCTCCGGCGGCACTTCCTCCGATCGACTCGCCTGCGGCGGCGGCGGCGGCGACCAGCGGCCATGCGGGTGGCACCCAGGGTACTCTTCCTCGTCCGCGACGCCGCGGGCTACGGCGCGGCCCTCGCGGACGCGCTCCGTCCGCGGCCCGGGCTAACGAGGTTCTCCCTCCCACCCAAAACCCTAACCTATAACTTTCGAACGCATGCAGCATCCGCTCACTGCCGCTTTGCTGCTGGATGTCTCTGGCAGGGAGTCCTCGCCCTTCGAGCTCCCGCTCGGCAAGTACGGCCTCGACGGACAGAAGGCGTCTGGCGAGCTCCTGAGCTTTTCCGATTCCAGTGGCTCTCCACAGGTAAGGGCACAAGAGGATTTCTACCTGTCTCATTTATTTGATTCAATTCGTGTCCTGCCAGTTAAAATTTAGCAAAACGCTGCGGGATTTTCTTAAAAATAAATCTGTTATATACATAGCATTACTCTATGGTATTGTATATGTATGAATTTAATTTGGTCCGGGTCGTCACCCCCGTGACGCCCCGCGTCGCGATCTGAACACGATGTCAAGTGAGCAAGGATCAGGTCGTCGCATCCTTAGTGGCGCGCCACATCGGCGCCCGGGTGTGGTGCAAAATGAGCAAGGGTTTTCTCACCTACCTCGGCGGGTGCGAAGGGTAAGGAAGCTAGTCGAGCCAACTAGGATCCGTTTAGGTAGCTGGAATGTAGAGTCCCTTACAGGTAAGTTAAGAGAGTTAGTTGACACAGTGGTTAGGAGACGTGTAAATATCTTATGCGTCCAAGAGACTAAATGGAAGGGGCAGAAGGCGAAGGAGGTGGACAATATCAGCTTCAAGCTCTGGTACACAGGGACAACTTCAAATAAAAATGGAGTATGAGTTTTGATTGATAAGAGCCTCAAGGATGGTGTGGTGGAGGTGAGAAGGGGAAGGGGATAGGATCATCTTAGTTAAACTTGTCATTAGTGATATGGTTTTAAACGTAATTAGTGCGTATGCCCCCAAGTAGGCCATGATGAGAGTGCTAAGCGGCTTTTCTGGGAAGACTTAGATCACTTGGTTAGAGCTGTCCCTAGTAGCGAGAAGCTCTTTATAGGAGGTGATCTTAATGGCCATGTAGGTACATCAAGTGCAGGTTTCGAGGCGGTTCATGGGGGTTTCGGATATGGTAGTAGGAACCAGGAGGGAGAGGAAGTCTTAGACTTCGCCATAGCTTTTGATCTGATGATAGCTAACACTTTCTTCCGTAAGAGACAGTCCCATTTAGTAACCTTTAGTAACGGCCAATACTCTAGTCAAATTGACTTTGTTCTTACAAGAAGGAGGGATAAACGAACATGTGTGGACTGTAAGGTGATATCTGGAGAATGTGTGGTCGCTCAACACAAGCTGGTGGTGGCTGACTTCCGCTTTCTGGTGCAAGCTCGTGGGAACAAACAAGCTAGGGTTGCTAGAACGAAGTGGTGTAAATGAGAAGGGGAGGCATCAAAGGTCTTTAAGGAAAAGGTCATTGAAGAGGACCCTTGGAATGATGAAGGCGATGCAAACAACATGTGGGAGAAGATGGCAACATGTGTTCGGAAGGTTGCTTCAGCGGTGCTTGGAGTGACCAAAGGGAGCGGATGCGACTCGAAAGACACTTGGTGGTGGAATGAAGATGTGCAAAAGGCTATTGAGGAAAAGAAGGAGTGCTATATGCGCTTGTATCATGACAGGTGTGTAAACAACATAGAGAAGTACAAGGTGGCAAAGAAGACTGCAAAACGAGTGGTGAGTCAGGCAAAGGGGCAGGCCTATGAGGACCTTTACCGACGTTTGAGTATGAAGGAAGGAGAGAAGAACATTTATAGGATGGCTATGGCTCGCGATAGGAAGACAAGGGAGTTCAACCAAGTCAAGTGCATAAAGGATGCGAGGGAGCAGCTCTTGGTGAAGGAGGATGAGATCAGACATGGATGGCAAGAGTATTTTGATAAATTGTTCAATGGTGAGAACGAGAACACCACCGTTCAGCTGGACGACTCGTTTGATGACACTAACAGGCGCTTTGTGCGGAGAATTCAAGAATCGGAGGTCAGAGAAGCCTTGAAAAGGATGAAAGGGGGCAAAGCGATGGGCCTTGATGGTATCCCAATCAAGGTGTAGAGCTGTCTCGGGGATATAGCTATAGTATAGCTAACCGAGATGTTCAACAATATCTTTCGATCGAACAAGATGCCTGAGGAGTGGAGAAGAAGCATATTGGTACCAATCTACAAGAACAAGGGAGATATCCAAAGTTGTACTAATTATCGAGAAATTAAGTTGATGAGCCACACTATGAAGTTATGGGAGAGAGTCATCGAGCAGCGTCTGCGAGGAACGATGTAGATATCAACAAACCAATTTGGTTTCATACCCGGAAGGTCAACCACAAAAGCAATCTTCTCAATAAGACAAGTTATGGAGCGGTTTAGAGAGCAGAAGAAGGGCCTC